TACAAAGAAATCAATAGACTGTGTGTAGATTAGCTAGGGAATCTATGCCACGCTTTCCAAATTTGAGTGCCTTTTGAATAAATGGACACTACTAAGAGCTAAGCCCCAATATCTAGAGAGTACCAAATTAAGGAAGACTTGTGTAGAAAAATGTAATGGATGATGGAAATGAACTATATTTTCACACCCTTCCTCCGCTAAATTTGGTAGGGAGATATAACTTTTGTACCTTTTAATATGTCTCATCTGTATATCTGCCAAAAGAATATTTGAATTCAGTTTTGAAAATTGTGAAAGGTAATGAAACAGTTCTGTTTTATCTTTTAGGCAGAGGTCGAGGAGAAAGTGCTTTCTACCAAAGAAGTTTTGACGATGTGGAAGGTGGATTTGGAAGAGGAGGGGGCAGAGAAATGCATAGGTCACAGAGTTGGGAGGAAAGGTACTTCTAAAATCATATACAGTATAATGAAATTGTTTGCTTTTTTAATGGAGCAGTCCTGGTTGTGCTTTGATGTTTATGCCTCGATCGGATCTATTTCTAAGAATATATTTATTAAAATATTAAATCAGAATTGACCAGTGTTTGTATCTATTTGTGTATATAAAAATATGCTTTATTTTATTACAACTTTTGTACTTTTAATGTATATTATACTGAGTAATTATCCTACAGTTCCAATTACAAGTGAAGAAATGAATGAATTTTAGATTTAGCACTGGTAGCAGATGCTATCACAGAGTATATTCATAATAAAATTGTTTTGCTTAGTTAATATTAGAAATAGCCCTAAGATTCTTATTATTCTCGAGAAGTATGGAATCATGGAGATCCAGATTATTTTGTAAAATATATTGTTTTAACAAGATACAAAATATTACTTACTTAAATAACTATATTAAAATGGAAGGTATTATGTAGCATTGGTGATTTATAAAATTACATTAAAATGTTATTCCTTAGAAATTATATTATTGATGGTTTTCTGAGGAACATAGATTAGTACTTACTTTCATGTTTATCCAAGAGCATGAACAAGAATTGAACTTGCTAATAGTGTTGGTTCTGTGTAGCCTGGAAATCTACTGTATGTTGGTATTCAACAAATAGAACAGCATGTGAACTCAAAAGGGCTTTAGATTTGTTTCAATAGTAGATATATCTATGGCATTGGAAAATTGTTATGTAAATTTAGGAACAAACAATTATATTATGAGAGAACAACAACATTATGGGAGAAAATAATTGAATCATATATAATTTAAATAGAAGGAGAAAAGGGTAATTGGTAGAGAGTTCTGTTCACATTGGTTACATTTGATCTTATAAAAGCATGCAGAAAACACGAGCATGTTATGCATTAATGTGCAGTAAAATAGGATAAATGTATTGATAATATGAATTAATTATAAGAACCTGTTTAATATAACTAAATATTGAACAAATTGATATAATGCAAGTGTTTTAATAAGTATATCTCCAGAATGGTTTTCATTATTCTGTCTCCATAGATTCATGAATTTCTAGTTTGAATTTTCTTTTAAATTGTGAAAATGAAGCATTTCTCCTAAAAAAGCATTCTTGTATATTTGTGTTTCTATTTTTTTTAGAGGAGACAGAAGGTTTGAAAAAACAGGCAGAAAAGAACCAGGTATGTAGGATCTTTTCTCTGAAAACTTTAGAGGTATAACAGTCAATATTCTCTGTTGTTATTTAAATTCATATATTTGAATATGAAATTATCCAACCCAGGAATAGTTTCCTTGCGCAAACAACCTTCCCATCTGGGCACTTCACGTATTTGGAGCCTGCCCAGATTAGGGTATGTTAAGTTTCAGAGCATTTAAATAAATTGTATCTTGTCATTTGAAAAAAAAAAAATGAGAAGAGTCTGTTTGGGGGACACAGTTGCACTGATTCTTATTACTGGGGTGCCTTACATTCTAGTCAACTCTAAGCCATGAAAGTCACTGGATGTCTGTGAGCAAGTCATTCTCTCTCAGCTTGATCTATCTCACAGAAGTAATAGCTATACTAAAAAAAAAAAAAGAGAGAGAGAGAGAGAGGAAAGGCAAGGGGAGAATGCCCTTGAAGGACAACAGGAAGTTCCATTACTAAGATAATGCTCAGACAAACACAGATTGAACCCATTCCAAGAAACAAATTTAAGAAAATATCTCAGACAGCCCCTCCCTAATTTACATGAGAATAACGCGAGGGAGGAGAAAAGCACATTCATACTTTTAAGATTCTGTTACTATAGTTGTTCTAATAAAAGGAGTTTTCAACTCATATGGCATTTGTTTGTTAATCAAATATAGAGCTGACAAATATTATGTATGTTAATTTGAGAAACTGAACAAAGGAAATATTCAGTTCAAACGTCTGATATTTTTTTTAAAAAAAAAAAATCACTCCTACAGTTTCTAGAATAAATACTGGACTAAGAACCACATTACCTAAAAGATACATGAGGATTTTTCCATTATACATGAATGAAAGTCAGTCCTGGGAGGTCCAAGAATACTTTAAAATCTAATGAATTATAAGAAGAAACCAATGAAAACAAGGGGCTGAAATGGAGACGGGATTGAAGGAGAAATTACTGATTTCCTCTTAGGGAGAATGAAAATTAGTTCACCCAATTCTATTTTGAAGTATAGGATAAGTGCTGATTCTCTTGGCAAGTGAAGACTGTCAAATCAGAAATATTACAATATTAGAAATCAGAAATATTAGAAATATTAATATTAATATTACAATATTAGAAATCAGAAATTCTTACAATAGTCAGAAGAAAATCTTGATGGCAAGGTAGAATGTTGATTATAGGCACAGAGAGGTGATAAATGAAGAGAAACAAACTAGCATGCCAAGTCTTACACATTCTTATTAGAGAGTAAAAGTTAGAGTTCATTGAGACTTATAAATAAGTATGCGTGTTTCTTTGTGCTTGCATCCTATTAATCTGTTTCTTTTTTGTGAGAGGAAAAATATTTTCCCCATTGTCAATAGAATAAAATGAATTAAACAGATTTATCCCCATTATAGCAATGTTCTCTGTATACTTATGTGGGAGTAAAACCACTAATCTTAGTGGAATTTATTATAGAGTAGGCACACATAGTTTTATCTTTACTGAGCCAGATTTCCAGAAACAGTTCCTTTTTTTCTGTTTAAGTATATATATTTTACTTAATTTTAAGTTTAAAATGAATCTTAAATAATTACTATTAAAATTGTTTGGCTATAAAATAAGATATTCAATTTGAAAAATTAATTGATTTTCTTTTTGCTTATATGTATGTATGTTTGTTTGTGTAGCTGTATGTGCACATGTGTGTGTGTGTGTGTGTGTGTGTGTGTATTACAAATTGAAAATTTTATTTTGCAGCCAAATAATTTTAATCAGTTATTATTTAAGATTTTTTTTATCTTGGAACTGCCCTTTATTAGTTCTTGTTTTTATCATGTACATATAGACACCCATAAGAATTATTGCATGTGTAAATTTTTAGGAAAATAAATCTCTTATGTGGGTTTCAGTAGCAATTGGCTATCCTATTTGACAAGATGAGAAAGTTGGGCAATATGAAGTATTTTTGTATGTAATATTTCTTTTGTGGGAAGGATTGTCTTAAGATCATCTTAATTTCAAATTATTGTAATTATTTAAGATGTAATCCTGAATTCTTTTGCAGTTTAAAAATTAGCTCTTTTAATTATTTAGTGGGCTAGTTTTTTTTAGAATTCACATTCCTATTTTTTCCCTACACTAGTCCTATACAGTAGGATAATTTGGAAAATTATAAGGCACAAAGTCAAAACTTCAAGCTTGAGTTAGGATTTTAACTAGTTTCAGTAACAGAGTTAAATTATATAAATACCTGTGGCTATTTGCACTAATCTTCAAATAATGCATTCAAGGTAAAGTATAACTGGGATTAGTAAACCTGATGTTAGAATTAAAATTATCACTTTATGTTTGAAATCTGAATGCCATTTGTACTTGTTAATGCTGAAATTGTCCAACCAAATGTGTATTTTGCTTTCAGCATAAGCACTTTTCTACAAAACCTTTTAAACAGTATCTCAAATTGCTAATGTTGCATTACAAGAGCAAGTTGCTTTTGTTAACTACATTTAAATTGTAAAAGACTTTGGGGGCAAATAAAATTAATGCTTCTACTTGAATTTGGAAGCATATGACATTTTATCTCGACTGTTTACTTGTAGATTGAAAGTTTGCATTTGTTTTATTGTACATATCTATATATTAGAACTGTAAAATTTAAATATTATAAAATTAGTATAGTTAAGATGGAATTTGATATAAATTGGGCATATAGATCAAAAGGAGAAGCTTTTATAATCACTATGTTGTAGAAGGGGACAGTTGTTTAAAGTGATGGATAAAAAGGTAAAGTACAAATGCAATTTAATGAATTTTCAAAGTGATAATTACTATTGCTGTTTGGTTTCTGCATTGAGCTAAGCCATAATCACAGTACTCAGTAAATGAAAAGATTAAAATCTCAGCACAGATAAAGGCAAAATTACTTTTAAAACATTGTAAGAGAACATGAGTTTAGTGGTATATTGTGATGATATTCCAGATTATTTTTTTTCTAAAGCATAATTTGTCATGACTCTCACATCTCTTTTCTTCAATTGTAAAACACTTTTTTTCCATCCTGAGAATATGGTATGATGACGCTTAAGATTACATACATGAATATCATTAATAACCTTAATAAAATATTGGATCTCATATTCTTTAAAAACTTAGCAGCTTTGAATTGGCAGCTAACATCATTGTGAAATTACCGGTAATTAATTGTCCAGAGCCCTACCATGTTCCCAGTTGATCATAGCTTCCATAATTGTCAGGTATAACCCATTCCTTAGATTTGGGGGAATAAGAATAAGCTTCATAAAAAGTACTTTATAATTGGTAACAAATCTCAACAGTAAAACAAATCTCAACAGCAACACCAGTATATACATATAAATACATTTATCCAAGTTCAAGAACAAAAAAGCTAAATTCTTCATAACCGTAAATTAGAAATGAAGCCATTTGAAAGTAAAACTATTAAAACCTATACCATGTTCTTCTGAGAAGAATCTTTTAATCATCCTTTACATAAAAGCACTTGGAAGTTCTGATGATGCTTTGTAGTCTTTCTTATGCATGTATACATAGGAGTTATTGACTTCTCCAGCTGAAAAAAGGTTGAAAATTCACAAAATGGTTCTTTTAAACTTAGAAACAGCAACAGTATTATTTTTGATAAACTGTTCTGGTAATAATCATGAATCAGTTGGCACAAAGTCTAATGCTCAAAGTCTGGTAATTAGATTTCATGTTTGCACAATTATTTTGTCAGGTCTAATGTTTATCTGCACTTAATGAACATAGTATGAAAAGATAAATAATTGTGGGAAATAGCGAACCTTTCTGATGATAGAATTATCTTGCAAGACAGAAAAAGAAGAATTATTCTTGACAGAAGAATTATGAATATAGATTGATGTTTCCTGATGTCTGCTAATGTCCCAATGCAGAGTATTAGAGTCCAATGTGTCTTAAAATTCTTATCGTTCATTTTCATCACAAAACTGCCTCGGGATGTTGAACTTGTTCTTAGCTGCTGGAACAAAGAGATTTGGCAAATGCTTGCGATTTTCCTTAATAAACAAGCACAGCAGGATTGCAATTTCAGTGCCACAGAAAATACTAGCAACATTCTTCATAGCATGTTTAGGCATCAGCATATTCTGTTGTAACTGTATAGCAAGGAAAGGTTAATTTGAGGTCCAATGGGACCTTGAGAATTTCAGGTGACCATTCTTTTTAGAGGAGATATCTTTAATAAAGTTGTATCCATTTTTCCATAGTATTTACCCTCATGTCATTTAATTAAATTCCTTGAACAACTCTCTGAATTTAACAGTCTTCTATTTTAGGTCAGTGCAGTTTTAATCATAGTCCATTGAATTTGGCAGGAAGTGTTTTTGTTTTTGTTGTTGTTGTTTTCTAAGGATTTGTGCAATGGTTCTTGTCCCTGACTTTTTTGTGCAGTTCTTAGTGGCTCATCCAGTACAATGGATAATATGCTCTTTGTTCTGCACATTGTTCTGAAGTCGAAGGTACTCCTAGAATAAAACAAACATGAGAAACTAGAGAGGATAAAGACAGCATTGATGTGATAGTGGCATTTCGTTGTGTTTAAAAAGTGGCACACATTCAGAGTTCATTCTGTCATCTGTGTCTCACAGATTTGGAAACTGTCAATGTGCTGTCCATTGATGCGAATCTCCATTTCAGTCCTTTTTGAACTTTTAGTGTCTGTTGCTGGAAGTTCTGGGATTGTTTTATCAAAATTTTCCATTTTGATTTGATACTCCCCTTTGGCACCACGAGCGAGCATGGAGGCAAAGTGGTGATGTAATACAATCTCTGATGGGAGATAGGATGTCCTCCTTTGACATGTTTCCCCTGTGCCCTCTTGGGTGGCTGAAAGGAAGACTACTAGCTCAAAGTGATGGTGAGCCTCCCTTTGTAGAAGAATGGCTAGAGGACTTGATGGTGTTATAGAATGGTAATATGTCAAGGGAAAAATAAAAAATGGGCACTCTTCAGAAGTTATGCTATCCAAATGAAAATCCACAGTAGTTTGATGCAGTTGACCAGTTTCACGTTCTTCATAAAGAACTGCAGAGATCCGAACACTGGTGAGTGGACTTGGGCGAGTATTAGCCACTTGGAACATTAAGTATGGCTTTCCTTCTTTGTGTGTCACCACTGCAAGATAAGTGAACCGGATGGATAGAGCTCGGTTCTTTGGTCGGGCAATTTTTGCTACAAATGCACCTAGATAAAAAGAGAATTTAAATATAGATCATGCATGTAGATGTAATTTTTTTGTGCCAGTTGATAGAAATGAAGCACAAATAAGTATATCACATTATTTGAAGCAGAATAATATAAATGAATGTCAATTTTAAACATTGATTAAAATATAAGTTAATATTTATTTTTAGGACAAGAGCTATTATTTCCTATGATGTAATATTTCAAGCTAATGTTTGTATCATCTCTCAATAGATTTGTGTTGCAATAAATTTTATTATGGTAAACCATTTTTTAGTTATTGGTAATATGAAAATTTTATTTTTCTATTGTTTCATTTTACATTAGTATAAATACATTTGTGTATTTACAATGAATATATGTATAATAGAAAATTATAGATACTGACCAAAATATATATAGCTATGCAATAGAATTTATAGAAGGATGCTTACCTATATTGTAATGCATAGTGGGTTCAAACCCCTCAAATAACCATCTTTTTAGATTTTAAAAAAAGATGTACTAAGCATATTTACAGATAAATGTCTTATTGAACTAAGTAGGATTTACTTTGTTTGTACAGCTGCTTTGCATCTTGTTAGTTTAAAACCATTTAATTCTGTGGGGGCGGACCCCATCTGTACAATAGATAACACTGCTAATTTAAAATCCTTTGTACTATTATTTTACTAACATAAAATGGAAATATAACTTGTCAAGCTGTTCTGAAAATAATTTTTTAATAGTCAGCAGCACAGCCTTTTCCTTCTTCCTCTTTACTAATTTCACAACAGAATTTTCATATGAACCACACCGTTGAAACACTTAGTTATGAAGTAACATCTATTTACCTGTGATAAAAGCTTCCAGCATTAGACCCAGTAACATTTGTATAGCAAGTAGAGCAATTGCACTTGGACAGTCTCCACTTGGGAACATTGTGCCATAACCGATTGTGAGCTGTGTCTCCAGTGAAAAGGAAAAAGCAGCTGTAAAGCTAGTGATGTACTTTACACAAATAGTATGGTTTTCAGGTGGGGCATCATGATCAATATCCAGATCCCCATTCATTTCAGCTAAGAAGTACCAGAGAATTGCAAAAACAAGCCAATGAAGGACAAAAGAAGCCGAAAATACCAACATCATCCATCTCCAGCGCATATCCATTAATATTCCCCAAGCGTCTTTTAAGTATGCAATTCCTTTTCCTTGGGCACCATCCATCTGGAGTGTGCTATGCCCATCTTTAGTGACCATCCTTGGGTACCGTTGAGTCAGCAGAGGAGCACTAGGTTTGGTGTTGTTGCCTTCTATCGCTTCTGTCCTCATCTTCTGAAAATGAAAAGTAAAAAACTATGGGACACTTGTTTATCTATTCGCATGACGATCAGAGATTCTGACATATTGGCAGTGGACTAGATGCCACATGCAGCTAGCCAAGGAAGTTTTAAAACATGCACTTCAGAGAAAATTAATTTTGGAGAGCCAGGTTAGTCACGATGGAATAATTGTTACCTTAAAAAAACAAAACAAAACCCTAAATGTCAGATGGCTTTTTCAGACTTCAATTTAGAAATGTTAGCCAATTTAGATTTACTTGTGTGTCTAAAAGTTTAGTTCTAAAGTAGAAAAGGAGTATTGCAAGTGTTCATCATCTGAATTAAATAATGTGTTTATGAAACAAAGTATTCTATAATAGCTATTTGTAATATTATAAATTCCGTTCTTTTGGTGGCAATCTTAAGGCTGTCATATCACACCTGTTGCATAAAATTTCCCTCACAAAGCTCTGTGAGTTTCTATCTACATTTTCACTGCTTCCAACCATGGTAATTCTTATTGTCTAGAATTGTGGTACCTGGGATGTAGCCTCTTCTGCTGAACATACTCAGGCCACTGCTGATGTAAAGCTGTATTAAAAAGGGGACAGAGAATAATACGGAAAATATTATGCAATTATATAAACTATTAAGAAGTCCTGAGGAAAAAAATGCCAATGCTAAATTCCAAATTTGTCAAAGAGAAACAGAAATGAGGCTTCTCTTATATTTTATATATATGTATTTAATGTTTAGTCTGGTTTTCAAAGCAAATTCATTCATATGGGACCTATAGATGTTAAAGGTAATTTTCTATGGCATAAGCTCATTCATATTTTTAAAAGGAGCTCATATAATTTCAGAAATATAAGAAATATCTGGTCATGGTTTCTTGTTGTTAGAGACTTGGAATAAACATTGCTTCCATGTTGTCATCAGTTGTTTTTTACATGAATGACACATAAGCATGAGAAGGCCATGTAAATAAATAGTGTGTGGTAGTTAGACACAGTGTGCTTGTGCTCCAGGTGTCTTAACTCAAAAATAGAGGTTTTGGTGAGGCTAAACTAAATATTTTTAGAAATACTTAGTACCCTGTAAATCACATTGTTTTGCTTCACATGATTACTTCTTTTGAAATATAATTATGTTTAATATTTTGTTCTTTATTTCCCTCTAATCTAGAAGCACCCATCAGTTGTCCTTTCCTTTTATTTTTTAATTTAAAGGACGAAATAGCTTGTTATTAACATAAGATGAACATAGTTCATCTAACATGTTCATATTTTAAAACTGCTTTAAACACGAAATATTTTATGTTCAGTAGATCTAAATTATATTTTAATTTTATATAGAGGCATAATGTGATCACTAATAGATTTAAACATATCAATCTTATGAGGAAATCTATGAAAACTAATTCCACTATATACAAACACATTCTTTAAAATAGGGAATAAAGTCCAGTAACTATGCAAAATATAAGCAGTTGCTTAGATGCCATTAATGCCTCATATTGTCATACAGTGCTTTTGAAGTCTGATCTGCTAAAATCACAAAAAAAGTTTGTCTTACATGAGTGGCAAAGAAGATTAAAAATTCTGGAATATGTATTAAAAAAAACTGGAATATGTATCCATAAAAGTCAATGGTTTGTAGCTGGGAATATTGAAGGCAAAACCATGGTTTACTGATAATCTGATGGGACAATGAAAATAATAGCAGCAATATTTACTTGTTTGCATATTAATACAGTACTTCAGAGACTTTTTCTTTGCAACAACTATATAAAATAAGTCAGTATTATTACTGCTATATTACAGATAAGGGCTCTGTGTTTGTAACAAAAGCAAGATTAACAATTTATACAATTCACAGCATAGTACCTTTATATATTATGCTATAGTAGCAGTGCAGAAAAACTGACTTTAGAATTGTGCCTCAATTTTATCTGAGGATATGTCCCTTGATTTAAAAAGTCTTTTTCTATTCAGAAATGGTATGAATTTCAAAATGTTTTAAAATTTTAAAATGTTAATCCTAATTTAACTTTAATGTTAATTTTTATATGTTGCTTTAATTATCAGTTATATTGTACACTGTGCAGAGCCCTTCTGTGAGAGAGGTTGGTTTAGAAATATGAAATATAAACAAACAAATAGCTTAATTATATGAAATATGAGTTTATATAGTTTTAAAATTGTAATATGGAATATGGAAAACTTCAGTAAACTAAATAAGCCACCTCCATTAAGTTCTTATCAGAAATAAAGAACGATCTCTACAGAAAGTGTATTGTGTTACAATAGATGGATTTAGCTAAGGCCACTAGGCCTCTTGTGCTTTTTGTTATTTTTCATGTGTTATAGCTAGCTAGGACACTCGATAAAAGAGTTTTTGGAACTGCTACTTTGTGACAAGTGTTTGTAATTTTATATCTGAAATTCATCAATTATATTTTAAATTACACCTCTGAATATCACTTTATTAAAATTTGGATCCTTCCTTAGTAAATGCATGTTCTGCTTTTTTTAGTAGCTAAAGATGGAGAGAAAAGGAAACTAGTAAAAACCCATTTTGAAACTAAGGCAAGACATTAAATTATTAAAATGTGCAGTTTTGTTACTAAATTCATATTGAGTTCAGTCTAGCTATCATAAATGTAGATAAATTAATATATGACATAATGAAATTTTCAAGATTTTGGTTTCTTTATCTAGCAGACGTGGTAGGCCAAACATGGATAAGGCAGATTCGCACACTGTGTATTTCCAGCACACCAGTAAACAGCTTCTATACAAGTCATTTTGTAGGATCTGGAAGTTCACAACAGGGTCCCTACTAAAATAAATGTTAGTATAATAACATTTTTTCATTAACTCCTAGGAACAGTTAAGTGAATTGTGATATTTTAGTGGTCATGTGCTCAGAAGTGAACAAGGAGTTCTAACATTCACTTGTGTCTCTTTATTTTTGATATGTTCTAGCTAGCTAGCTATCGGTTTGTATTGATATGAACTGGATAAAGGAGAGGGGCTGGACAGAGATAAGCGCTAGGAATTTTCTTTGGGAGGTAAGAGTGTGTGCATATAAACATACTGTTGCTACAACTTTGCCAGCATTGGCAAGATAAATGAGTAATACCTTCCACAAAATGTCCACCCTTTTAAGCAACTTCAGACATGCAGAATTTATCCAAAATTTTAGTAGAATTCTGATATTCACCAATACGAGTCAGAAACAAATAAATAGCTGAAGATTACTTTAAATAGTACAAGAGAAACAAGAGCATCTGAATAAATGAGCATTTTCTCTTTCACTACTGGATTTTACTCAAAGCTTTCAATCATTTCAGTAGTTTAATTTAAGGGGATAATTTTAACTGCATTTTTACACTTGTGATTTGAGAAGTTCTCAAAATTCTATATAATCTTTCACTTTCATCTGTTATACAGATTTACAAAACTGCTATTTTTATCCCTGTCCTAAAAATCCTTAACAATTTTTTTTCATCATTTTCACTTGCCAGACAGTTGATACTTTCTTTGAAATATCCATAATCTTACATTCTTAGTTGTGGAGTAGATATGTAACTGGGTTTTTTTGTCTTTGTTTTGTTATATACATATTGACTTTAAATGACACTGCCAGTTTTTAAATTTTGTATTCAGTTTGGACATTCCTCACAATATTATTCACAATTTTTATATCATTATGTATAATTGAGCAGTGTCCACACACACTACCTTTTTGACACATTTGGAATTTTGAGAATTGACCATAAACACTTGTACAAATGGCTATATTTTCCTTTTACAAAATGGCTGACATGGTAGCCATTCAACTCATGTATTATAATAGTGGAGGTTGTTTTTGTTTTGCAGTCTACCAGTTTTGAATTTAATGTTTTCAAGGAAAAAACCTAGGACCCTAATCCTAAAGACATTGAGCATTTATTGTGTACTGGTTCCAAATTGCCTCTTTAAATTAATTATTCCCAATACAGATTCTTAGGAACCACCTGAGTATTTCCTTCACTGTTTAATGTGTTTAAACTACACATTCATCCTTTATTTTTTGATATTGAGTAATCGTCTCCCATTGTATCCTGTACAATAAGTGCCATTCAGCAGGATCATCCAAAACTAGAAAACTAGGTTTTCCATAGGTAAGGAGGCTGTAGGTAGAGTTCTAAGCAAAGAAGGCAGTTTCCAGTAGTCCCATTATGCATAGTTATCTGAATTCAAGCTATGATCTGCTGCAAGCAAATGTTACACTTCTGTCTTTTTTTGAGTTAAAAGCTCAACATTCAGAACATTTTCACATATAACCAAATGCTAAACATTTATGGTTCTATAAATAGAACAAAAAAGAATTTCAAAAAAGAATAATTGAATGCCATCTCTTGTCATTAACTGTTTTCTATTCTCTGTCTTCTACTTTAATTGGGAAAAAGCAATTTTGAATTTTGCATAAATACACAAAAACTGGATATGTCAACAAATTATATAATATATAGTAGTTAAAATGGAGTCCAGAAAACTGAAGCAAAAATAATGGATCATATTTTACTGATGCAGCTAAATAAGCTTAGATAATTCAGAATCAGAGCACAGTATTTTAAGAGAAATAATAAAGCTATTTGTAATGGTTTGAAGCATTTTGTATTCAAAGTGTTTGCATCATTTAATTATTAACAAAATGTGATTTTAAAAATACATTTAAACTGTCACTATGAAAAGAAAATTATTTAGATGCTACACTGTTTTGTGAAGCAAATATTTTTCATAGCATGTGAAATTACATTTTCCTTAGCATGTAACAGTCCATTTTATCCCTCAAAATGTTAGTTGCTTTAATAATGATATTTTCAGTATTTATAGTAGTTCCATCTTAACTGTCATATTCAGGTGCTTGCCAAAATATTATATCGTACCTTAAGTAATGAATTTATTATTTATCAAAAATACTGTTGGCTGATCTGAAGAAAGTGATATTTTGATCTGTTACTGGAAGAATATTACACTGTATTCTTAATTCATCATTTTTAACAAAGAATAATGAGAAATCCTTAGTGCAAACTTTGAATATCTTTTAACCAAGTTTTTGGGCAGCCTGGATCAGGTACTTGATGAAATTGACAGAACATGTCCTTATGAAGTTATAAAACAAGAACAAGCTGCAACGGATGTTTATGAAACTAATTTAAAGAGATATAACTGGTTCTGATGGATGACTTATTCCCTAAAGGAGATGAAAATATACTACATCAGAAAATTGATTTGGATATTTTTTTTCTCCTCTGGCTAAGATTCTGCTAAGACTGGGAAGGACTTTTTTTAGAAATCACAAAAGGATAAATTCTACTTATGGATCAGGAGAAATCTGTTAAAGTTTTAAAGCCTTGAAATACAAATAAGCAACAAACTATTTTCAAAAATGCCCATTATTTGAAGAGGTCAAAGAATTTTTTAAAAATTTAAATTTAAAAACCTTTAAAAATAGGAAGATTTATAAGGTGGGCTTTGGGTTTGTTTGACCAGGGTTAAAAGAAGAAAAAGGTTATATCTGGTGGCCCTTATTGGACTTTTGCTGATAAAATTTGATTTATGTAGCATTTTGATTTTGTTTTCCTTACTTAAGATATGAACTATGGGCAAAGAAGAGTAATTTTTTTCTTTTTTTCCTTTTTTCCCCTTTTTTAATCCCCACTTCCATTTTTGTATTTTTTGTTTGTTTGTAATTTTTGTACTTCGTATTGACTTTTGTTTGTTACATGTATAATTCTTAATAAAAATGGTTTGAAAAAATATATTTAAGGAAAGTAGTTAAAATTATAGCTTTGGATTGGAGTTTTACTACAAAGTTCTAAGGACATAGTATTATAGAAATACTATTTATTAATGGCCTGTCATCTTATTCTGAATATAAGTTGCATTACTATTATGTAAATTGTACATAATACATAATACTGTACATTTTCACTTAAAATCAAATGTGCTCAGTGATATATGACACTGTTATTTCCCCCACCCTCCATTACCCATTCCATAATAAAACTTACTGATATTATACATGGCTCACAAGGGAATAAGCAAGGGTTCTGTCCCCTCCCATTGTCACCCCCTTTACCATTCCTGATGTTGCTCAGCCGTTAATAAATATTGCATGTGTTAAATAATCTTGCTTAATAAAACCAGAAATTAGCATGTATGCACAAATTCTTAGAGAACTTCATAGAATTACATATTGCATTTTGAATTATTTTCTATAATATCTATATCTATCTATATCTATCTAATATTCTATATATATTCTATATATATGTGGGGTGGTAATTTATAAAGTACACGAGCCATGGCAGGTAAAGTAGATGTAGGCATAAGTTCGTCTTGAAGTTGAATCTTCAAATCTATGCTGCTGTTGTTTTTTACCAATGGTATTGGCCTGTGCTTTATTCCTCAAAAGTTTTTTCAATATTTCAATTCATTGTGGTTTCCTAACCAAATAATAACTAGGACCAATGTCACTAAGCTTCAGAGCACAGACATGTTCAGCTAGATCCTTCTCCTACTGAGATGGAATTAATCTAATTTGGTGCAAATCAACACCAAGCGAATCTATTAGTGTATAGATTTAAAAGGTAAACAAGATACATTCAGATGTCATTAGTCTTACATGGTATATTTCTCATTAACTTTATATTTTTAATTATTTGTTGTGTTGAATAAACTCTTGAGAATAGTAAAGCAGAAAATAAGACCCTTGCATATATTTAGAAAATAAATAGCTTCTAAATAGCCTAGAAAATGTAATAAACACAAATCTAAAATTCTAGATTAATCCTTTTTATATAAAAAGGTAAGCAAATTTACAAATTCAATAGTATAACCAGTATTATATCAATCTTTTACCATCAGATTTAAAACAACTACATACAACTTCATCCAATTTTTAAACTTTGTTTACTCCAAAGGCTGTAATTTCCCCCCAGAAAATGTTGCTATGCAGAATTAAAATTTGTGCAATGTTAATTTTTCTTGTTTTGACTATGTATCTTCTAGAAACTGATTGTTTTGTGTGAGCAAGGAAGTTTAATATATATTCAGTGTTCCTTAAACATCAGTATGGTTTAAAATGTACAGATGATCTATATAGATGATCTGTGAACTGAATGATAAAATTCTGAAGATTTATTTTTAAAGTTTTCTATCAGCAGATTGGCATGAGATATTTCAAGTCAATAATATGAAGTCATTCGAATAGCCAAAGAAAAATGAATTTAAATCTGCATCACATCTTCCATCTTTCTGCATTCAGTGGAGTAAAGAACAATGTGATTAAAAAAAAAACACCTTCCAAAGTCACTTAAATTATTATTGACCATTGAAAATAAAAGAAATAGCAAAGATTTAGGGAAAAATTCTTGTGCTAAGTTAATTTCTTTAAGACATGTTGAAATTCAAATAAAAATGTAAAGATTCCCAATCCTTTGGAGATAAAGTTCACTGGGTAAAGCTTGAAATTTAATTATTAAGTACTATTATATTATATAAAATTCTAGCTTTTCTGAAAATAATCACATTTCCAATATTCAGTCACATAATTGTTAAATGTGTTTATATGTGTTTATATTTCTTATTTAAGAACTATACACTTTACATCTTACCATAAAAGAATGCTCACATGGCTACAGATTTCACTGGCAATTTTATCATCATAATGTCAATTTAATTCAGGCAATCAATTTTGGTAACTGCCCAGCTTTATACTTTGGTAGAACTAGAAAGCTATATTTTATCCTAATATTTCTATCAATAGTCATGACTTGCAGGAAAAAATTCTTTATAGGTTTGATTCAGGAAATTATTAAATACTGTAAGTTTTCCTTTAGCAAATTAAAACACAGAACTGGAAAACTTAATATGCTGTGTTAGCATTCTGTACTTACCCGTGTCTTTGTAGCTTTTATCTGTGTGGCAGGGAAAGGGAGAAAGGTGGGTATCTTGAATATGGAATATGCACCAAGATCTTGTATCTGTCTGTATACAGTGGTCCAAAAGGAAGGAAGAAAAAAAAAACCAGTTTTTCTAGTTTGGAAAGATATTTGTTCAGAATGGGTTTACAGATCTCATTCCACAGTATATAATGTGGGGGGTTGGTTTTCATATGAAGCTGATTTGATTGGTCATTTCATCTGCAGGGGTGCCAGTTAGCTGTGGTCATGTGAAAAAGAATGCTGATTTGTTAGAACTTTCTTTACTCAACAATAGCCTAGCTGCTATGGAGAAATGCACAAGACCTTACTTGGAGAAAGGGGTGCATTTTTTTCTCTTAATCAGGATGGGGCTTTTAGGTTTGCATAATCTTACTTAAAGCTTTACTTGCTGGTTCAAAGGAATGACATTCCTCAGAATTGTTTTCCATTCATTTTCTTGAGGTGCTGTTCATAAAGTTCACGCTACTAAAAATATTTTCTTCCAAACAAAGGCAGGCAGGTGAAGATGTACTTTCCGTTTCACTTTCTTCCTTTTAATTTTTTTTTAATCTTAGAGCTGGAAATGTCCTTTATCTTAGACATGGAAAATAATATCATTTGTAGATTGATACAGATTTATTACTTTTAAATAGTTTGTAACCAAAGATTCAAGATTTAGTATCTTATTATTCTATATTTTGCTCCTTAAGTCAACTTTGCTCATAAGATTGTCTTTACTGGATATAATAGAAAAATATTATGATGGAACATAATTGCTATAATCAAAATGAAGCACAATTTTACAGTGAATAAATCTATGGCATTCAGACTTTATACTGTGGAATTAGTGTGGAGTAATCTGATTAGTAAAAAAAATAGCTCAGATGAGGCCCACAATGGCCACTTTCTAGAAACATTTACAAGATTTGTTGAGATATTTTTATGTAGTATTTAAAATTTGTGATATCTGGAATTAGTTAAGTCTAATTAATTAGTGACTAGTAAAGAAATAGCTACAATGAGGTTCCTATCAATCTAGAACTACTTGTATGATCTGTCAGTAGTTTTATAATGCATTTCACATTTTTCTTTAGTTAGTTGCTGATGTAGGGACTTTGATCGGACGTCAGACCTAAGAGGATCTGAGAAACAAAGACTGTGATTGTTTTCAGTAAAACTACGGAAGACCCGCTGTGAAAATTATTAATGTAGACCAATATAATGCTACTTAGAAACCGAAAATCTCTCTCATGTATTTCCTTTAAAAATCCACAAAATATAAATCATTAATTCTTTATTTCATTAATAGAAAATGTGTTAATACATGTTGAGGCATAGCATTATAAAACTGAGGCAGGCACAATAACTTTTGTATCTACAAGGACCAGGAGAAAGTTTTCATTTAAGCATATGGAACTACAACAGATTTACTTCCCTAACTTTTCAATATAATATGTTTTTTCCTTACATATGTCCTTAACAATTAATTTCATACAGTTATATTTTTAATCCAGTTTGAGAGATACCGTGAAATCTGTATATGTGGTAGGGCTTGGCTACTGTGCAAGGTATGAAAGTTGTGTAGAATTAGATTATACTACGGAAAACCCCCCACTCTCCATAATTCTATGGAAAGGCATATATAGTTCAAAAGTTGTGATTATCTTTTCAGGAACAGAAATGAACATTCATGCTATATATGTTAAAATGTGGTTGAATGCACTTCAGAAATTATAGTTACAGTAATCATAGTTGTATGCATGGATTCATAGATACACAGTATAATTTTCCCATTAAAAAAACCTACAGCTTTACAGCTTTTTGTTATTTGTATATTTCCTTGGATTAATGCTATTTATTATCTTAAATTAAGAAAATTCTCAGGAAACCCATCCTCCTCATTACTATAGTGGAAAACAGTATGGGTGTTTATATATCTTATAGAAAGATTGTTGACACTGTTATTTGCTATCCTAGTTTTTTTTTAACCTTCAATAAACAAGTTCTCAAAGGTTTGTATTCCAAAATACAACACTTTGAAGTTGGTCCTTTTAAAACTTCAAATTACATAGCTGTAGACTTTGTTGGCTGGATGTCTTTGTTGTATCTGAACTTTTCCATAAACACCATCACAGGCTTTGGGTCAGACATGGAATGCAGGTGCCCTTTAACTGCTCCTTCTCCTCAGGAAGTCTAGTCAATTAGTTTGAGGCAAAGTCACAGATCTTTTTCTCTTTTCTTTTCATCCTGGGAAATCATGGCGAAACACCAACCACGTGCCAAGGAATCTAAGCCCAATAAAATGAACATACTAGCAATATAAAATTCATGGATGTTTACAGAAATTTAAGTACATATATTTAAAGTTAACTAGTGACTGAGATATTGTTGGCCTCCTACTTTTTAAAAACTTCACAGCATAATACATCTAAATCTTACTAGATTTTGAAAAATTATGTCATCCATACCAATTTGTTGATGGACAAATTTGTATTGCTATACAATTAAGAGTCATATATTCCAGCCATATCCATTTTTATTCAGAAGAAAATTAATGTAAATTTAATGTGACTTACTGTTTAGTGCTTTAGTTATAAATATAGGTATGCTAAACCCACCCCAAATTTCTTTTTAATTTTAATGAAATGTGATTAACTGAATAAGATGGCACTGAAGCTTTCCCTAAAACAGCATTATAATCTGCTGAATTTGGACAGAAGTAAAATAACAGAATTTATACAAATGAGCACAAATATCCATATTTTTATAGGATAAGCAATATTATGCAAAGTATAGAAAGAAAACTCAGAAATTAAAGCCTTGAAATAAGTAAAAGAAATATATAAATAACTGAAAGTAGTTAATATAAACACCATTTATTTTATCCTTCTGTACCTTTCTGTTTTTGAAAACTAGCCTTGTTTCCCACATACCCCAAAATTGCTTCATTTATTGCTTTTGTTCTTCAAAGTCATCACTGGTTTGTTTTTTTAAAAGATGTCATTGGCTCCATCCAACCAATACAGCTTCATTTCATTATCTATTCAATCTAATCATTCTTCCTTTGTATATTTGTTTTGCAGCTGCTTTTATTCATTTCTCTCTGTATCAACCCACCTTGATGTATTGTTTATTAGATAAACAATCTAAATGAATATTAGATATTCATTTTTATTCACTACACATTCATTCAGCACTTGTTAATCCTGTTTCCTTTTATTTTATCACTCATAGTTCCCAAGTACCCTGTTTTCATTTTTTTTATCTCTTCTGAGCGGTTTTCAGTTCTTTTACACAATAATTTTTATTTTTATATTAATTTCTTGCAACAATCTATTCTGTTAGCATTTGTACATATCAAAATTTCTCCAGCCTTTTCCCCATCTTTAGCAAATTCTACCAAGGCAGGAAGTATTTATCCATCTATTCCTTCATTGCAATATTTTTATCTCCTGCAATATAGAGGAAAGAAAAATACTAATCACAGAGCCATGCCATCACACATATCTTCACATTCTCAAACAATGTATTTCTAACATTTTCACAAATGTTTCTTGTATGTATATCCATAAGTACATTACTCCTTAGTCAATATTCAACTATTTGCTAACTATTCCATTCTCACAAAAGTTTTAGTTCAATTATAAACTGATCCTACCATATTTATCAACCAACGTGCAAAATTTTATGTAATTCAAGCTTATTTACTTTTTCATATGCTTTCTCTAAATCAAAAAAATTCATGCATTCATTTTTCAGTGACCTGCTGTGGAGGAGAAAAAAGTTCTGTGTACCAGCTGCTTAGCATAAAATTGCATTGCGCTTCTCAGATTTTGCTCATTATCATATTTTATATCCCTTTAATCAGAATTCTGCCAATGCCGTTTCTTATGCTCCTATTCTACTCAGAGAATAATATTCTTCCAGTCATGAGGTGGAGCTGCAGCCTTCAGAGATATGTTAAATGAATCACATAACTAATTCTCCAGCAAACCACATCCATATTTTAACATGTCTTTCTAGTAATGCCATTTGCAAATGTAGCTTTACTATTTTTCAACATGCTCACAACATTTAAGGCTTTTTGTTCATCCATTTTTTTAACATTAACTTTTCTAGTGTTCATTTCAATTCAACTCAACTCTTCAAGATACCTCTGATACAAATTTCTAAAATGTTTATTCCAACATTCCCTCTCTTTGGCTTCAATCCAAATCATTTCATCACTTTTATTTTTAATTCCATTCACTCCAGGCTTCTCCTTGTTTAGTCCTTTTCACCTATTTTCAAACCAATTTTATTTCTATCAAAATCCCTCTGCATTTTCTTCACTCCTCTTAACCATCTCATGTCCTTCTTGTTTGCAACTATCTTGCATTGCACTTGTCTGTTTCATTATTATTTGCAGCAATCATTCTCTCATACACATTTTTCTCATCCACGGTCTCTTTTGTTTCCTCATTTTATCAAGTATCCTTTTTCATATTTTCCAGTAGTATACATCTGTGGTATTCTTTATGTTATTTAGACATTATACTCTTCATATATTGCAAGTGCATGTACAATATGCCATAAGATGGATGGATGGATGGATGGATGGATGATAATGTGGCACTCTATTGCATTTATTTGTACCTGTCATCATCATCATCATCATCATCATCATTAATTACTGAAGGTGGTGAACCTATCCAACACACGTTCCTCCTCCTATTTTCCTCACAACAATTCTGTGAGGTGGGTTGTTTTCACTTTGCTCCAAGCAGCTTCCACGTTCACATTTTGTACATCTGCTTTCCATTTATTCTCTTGGGCGATTGATTAATCAGCATTGTAATACTTTTTCAAATAGGCCCCATGTTGTCGCTTTCTGCAGTCATGGTATTTTCACAGTCACTTATTTCCATTTCTTTCATGTCTATTTTTCTGCATGATCTCTGCTACCAAAAGATATTCAAAATGTCATGACTCTTGTATCTTTCACTAATTATTAATTATAAATGATTAAACATGGTTTAAGATTTATATTTTTGACATGTATTTCCATAAAGAGACATATTTAAATCCTATATTAGAAACTGATCTTTTTCTAAGCAGATATTACCCAAACAATTACTTCCATTCATTCTTCTGGATCTGGATCTGGTTCTGGATCTCTGAGTAACTCCTTTTTTGTACTCTTTTCTTTTGTTCCAAGTGCCCTTATGTTACTTAGTCAAATCATTATTTTCT